ATTAATCTTCAAAATGTATTATATTATTTTGTGGAGCTTATTTAAGAATAAGTATTATATCAATTATTGTTTAATATTAATTAATTATAATAATATTTTAATTTTGTACTTTATAAATTATAATTATAACCTATGAGTAAATTTGAGTAAATTAATATTTTGAAGGTTGATTTATGTGTAGCTATTGTGTAGAATAACTTTACTAATAAGAATAAGACGTATTTAGTATTCAACTACCTATTCGAATGGAAAAAGAAAATTAGTATTAATAAACTCAAATTGTATAAAACTTAAGCAATTATGCCTTTTTGTACGATCTGATTAAACGCTCACATAGGCTGTGTTATTGATTTATACTATTAATACATTTGCTTCTTACATATTTTGTACTTAAATTATGTTGTATATTAGAAAGCTATAATCAAATATTTGTATGTTATACAAGGTGCTCAATATATTTTAGGGTTGTTAGTTATTATAGCCTTTTTTTGTCATTAATTTATTTCAAAATAAATTATTATTTGTTTGTTGCGGCTGTATATATTTTCTGTGAACAACTTTAAAAAAAAATTATTTAACAAGAAGTTTAATTAGTTTAAATATGACTATTCAAATACATTTTAAGTTAATTTTAAATTATTTATTTATTTCCATTAGTTATTTGTTGTGGCAACCCTATTGTTATTATTTAAAAAAAATATACATACGTTATTATTTAATTACAAAATATTGTACTTCTATATTTTTTTTTACAATATTCATATTTGTATTTGGTAATTATTTATTGTTTATTAATTATTATACTTAGAGAACTGTTCTATAATCAAACAACATATTGAAAATAATAAATTGTATTATTTAATTGATGTATTTATATAGTAAATTGTAAATACCTGTTCTGCTAATTTTCTATAATACTATCTATGTAGAACTTAACATATATTAATTGCAAATGCTTAATTCCTCACTTACAATCAGGGCTAGTGTTGTAAATGGAGGGGAAAAACAAAAGAAAAATTAAGGAAAAACTAGAATTTTTAAGCTAAATCTGTTTTTGAAAAAATCGACTTTGTTCTATGGTGCAACTCTTTAAAAAATGACCGTACGTACATGACATTTTGACTGAATGTTTATATTATCATTTTCTATACACCATAATATTTTCCGAATATTTCGACTTATTTTGTTGAGGGACATTTTCAGTTTCCATTTTTTTAGTTTTTTTTTCTATAAATATCAATAAAATTTTATGTGTTGGTTAAAAGAGCTTGACAATTTGAATTGAATAGAAGGATCCTAGTTTCAAAGGCAGATAAAAAAAATTAAAAAACCATAGACACAATTTTTTTTTTTTATAAGCATTTGAAGTTCTAACATTGACAAAATACGTAAAAATGAAGAAAATTTACAAATTATTTTGTTAGATATACATAAAAAAAAATTTTTTAATCCTAGATTTGAAAATGTAATACAAGATTCCTCATAAGTTTAACTATCTTTATCAAAAAATAACAATTTTATAAGAAAGTCAAATTAAATTTTTATGAGCTTTTGAAATTTATATTTTTACAAAATTTGATATTCACTCGATTTCTCATGTAACGATTTTCTTATTTTGTTGTAATTAAAAAACGAATTATTGTAGAAAATACTTGAAAATTTCTCTGAATTTTTGTATTAGCATTTTCTATAAACCATACAATTTTGAAAATAATTTGACTCTTTCTGTGCTGTTTTGTCAGTATTCAATATTTTTAGTTTTTTTTTCTATAAATATCAATAACATTTTATTTGTTGGGTAAAAAGCTTGAAAATTTAATGCAAGGCTCCTGATATATTGTTAAAATAGCAGTTGAAAAATATAAAAAATACATAGACACAATTTTTTTTTTAAGCATTTAAAGTTCGAATTTTGACAAAATTTATCAAATTTATAATTTAATAATTATTTTGTAGTTAAAAATGTATAAAATGTTCAATTTGTGTAGCTAAGGATTGGAAATTTAATACAAGGTGCCACGTAAATAGGTTATATATAAATTACTTTATTCAGAATAATATCATCAAATGTACCTACTTAGTAATATCATAGGCTGACTGACCGTTTTCGCTCAGAATCGTTTTTCTTATTCAATGATATTATTATATCATTGAATTCAAATTTTAACACCATCCATTTCAGTGACTTTTTGAGGGAATCATATCGTTGTTAAGAGTCATGGAGGGGGGCAGAGACCTGGAAGTAGAGAGAAAGTTGTATGTGCTGATTTGTTAGGATTTATTTTAATTCTCCACAGGTTGAACCAATTTTGGAGTTCATTGAGGTGTGTTTGGAGTGCTTCAGAGGCTCTGGTTTGAATATACATTTAAAAATACAATTATAATCCACCGTCCATATAAAAAATAAAATGTAAAACAGCTGTCTATTATTAAGATATGTTTAATACATACCTAAATTACCAACCTACATGCACTCTAACACAAAATTATGAAAATATTTCTACCATTATCAGCATTCAAATTTCAAGATTCAACGTATACCGCATTACATGTTTGTGAAGTTGGTCCCCCACCTTGTTTGATGAATTCGAAAAATATGTCAATACCAACAAACTATTCGCATTATATCCGGCCCTTTAGATCATAATTTACCTACTAGTATAACATGATCTGAGAGCCGGCCTGTGCATAGATACACTGTAAGCAGACGCCGGGCCAGTGGACGACGGTTCATCTGTTCATATTCTAAAAATAGATCTATACCTAGATAGTTCTATTGATCAAATATACATTGTATATTAAATCAATGATAGTACCTAATTCTATCAACTAGACGATTTATCTACAAATGACAGTATTTGAATACTGACCACTGCGCTCACGGTACAACATAATACTATGTAATATTAATTATATTATTGACCTAATAACACGGCACTATGGGCGGTTTATTGTTATTTGATTTTTACGATCTTTTTGGTCTCTTCTGTTTTTTACTAACAAAAATGTAAAGTGAATACTAATATGAAAATAATGAAAAGATTTCTATAATAAGCGGAAACAAATTAAATTAAAATGTCTCGAATGTGGTAAAATATTTGATAATATATGTATAGACAATACACAAATATTATGGTGCTCCCGAACACCATTTCGAAGCTGTTAAAGAAACCAAATAAGAGTACCTACATAAGTAAATTCAGTACAAACTCGAAACTGGCTTGCCATGACATTGGTACGATATTATTCTACCAAATTGATGATTACAAAAAAAATAATAAGTCATAATTTTCATTAATTTAAAACAATTTTGGTGTGGAATTGCATATGGTTAAAACCACCCTCCATATTCTTATCTTCAGCCTTCAGGACGGCCCTGAGCTTATAAATTATAATTATATACCTATATTCATACTTAAAAAAATAAATTTTCATACATATAATAACTAGCTGACCCGGCAAACGTTGTTTTGCAATATAAATTATTTCTAATGAATATTTTGGCAGTTAAATAAAAAATAACTAAATTATTGTAATTGTGTGTTGATGTGCGTTATACTGGTATATGACTGAAATAGGAATGGAGCATTGTGAACAACAAAACACAAAATATTCATTTTTTTAAATTAATTGTACTTTTATTATCTTAACTAATAAATTTCAAATTACATCTCTATCGCACTATATAAAAATTAAAAAACACCATCAGTCTCTTAGTGCAATGGAATGTACGGTGTTTTTAGCTAGTGAGTCCATTTTTAGCCAACACAAACAAACTGGATGGTTAGAGGTTTCTAGAGGTGTTTCTACACCTCAAATGGAACAAAAAAAGTCCTTTTGACCATAATCGAATTATCAATAACAAGGGTGATAATCTCTATGTTTGTGTTTTTTTTGTTAAACGCAAGTTTTATTCATAATAATGTTCATATCTGCTATACCGTAGGTACTACAATTAATTTGAATACATTGACGAAAAGCTCATAAAATTGGGATTAGGAAAACATATCTTACAAGGTTCCCACCTGATTTTTTGGGTAAAAAGAATAACACAAATGTTTTAAAACTTTAGAATGTCGAAATTTTAAAAAAATTCAATTTTATCTAACAACAATTATTTTTTAAGGCAGGGGTCATAAGGACTTTTTTCCATTTGAGATGTAGAAACACCTCTAGGAGTTTGACACATATAAAATAATGATGACATTTCTCCATATTTTACCAGGCAAGTTAAAGGAGGATTATTAAACACAACAATTAAGGACCTCGCTCTGTTTATAATTAAAAATGGTTTCTGTAATCCATACTGCGGTTTTCTTAAATTTGTCGATTACAAAACCAGAAAAAAAAATCTTTTTCAAGTGAAAATATAATTTTATACTACCAAAGATATGAATTAGTTTAGTTTATAAGTATATTACTTAATTAGTTTAATGATGTGTATACATATTTAAAATATATTTCATGTAAATAAATTACTATTGTAATCTTATAACTTGTAAGTTATAAGTATTAATATTTTTATTTATTTTTATGAATATTGAATATATTATTGAAGTTATGTCGCATTAAGATTTAACACATTATTTACATAATTTTATATTTAATAGTATACAATTTTATAGGTACCTACTCATCTTTGATATTACAGTATAAACAGAAAAATAATACCTAAAATAAAAACACCAAATTTTTCTTTTTATCATTCATTTTTAGTGCGCCCCCTAAATTCATAATACTTTAGACGCCCTAGGGCACTTGCCCATTCCCCCCCCCTTGGGATGGCTATGGCATTACTCATTGACATTTGACGCCCATTTAACTTGTAAGGGGTATAAACTATAAATTTAAATAAGTAAATCTACTTATTTGAAAAAAGGTAACCCGTCGTTAAATAATTAAGTCTAAAATTAGAATTAACAATTCCACATTTAATGATTATAATTCTATACAGTTAGATTTTATTAATCTAAAACATTACAAATATTGATGTAGTTGGACTAGGTAATACTATTTAACTTAGTACAATCCGTGATAGGGGCTTCACATAAGAAACCTCGTAACATCATCGAAAAGGTTATAAACTTATCTGAATTACATTTACATTTTGTAGTGGGGTCGATTGTATCAATATACTTTGTTACGAATCCTTGTGCTTTTATTTCTCTTGCAAATTTACCCTATAAATCATAGAAATTATATTGAAATCCATACACGAATGATTCTTATAAAATATTACTTTGTCATAGAATGCATCTGAATTATCAGCACACCAATAAAGATTATAGTGGTCATCTTCACAATACTGAAATTGTTATAGGTATTTATTAGAATATTGTTGAAAGTATAAGTAGGTGGTAACTAAATACCTAAAAAAATATTTATACATTATGTACCTAATACCTAGGTGAGTAGGTATACTCATAAGTCAACAGTAAGCATAGGCGTAACTAGAGAGCTTTTTTTTGGGGGGGGGGCAGGGGCTGAATCAGACAACACATACCCTCACGGGCTTTCCTTCGCATCCAATTTTCATAGGTACACTACTACGAGTACAACCTGTGGGTTGTGACTATACTACGTTATCATTTTTGTAGGTCTATACCTACAAAACGAGACCTCAGTGGAATTTCCCCTAAACAACTATAAATAATAACTAAAAACTCCGGATAGATATATTTTAAGGAGCTTTTGAAATATTTTTGGCAGGACTAAACCTCCTTAAGCCCTTTAGTTGCGCCTATAACGATAATGGAGCGACGACAATTAATTGAGGTCAGTAAACGATTTAGGTAGTAGTAATAATAACTAGGTATTTAATTTATTTTAATTGATTGAATATATCAAGATAATGTATTAGAATTTAGAATAATTATTTGTATACTTTTTTATATGTCACACAACACGTGGGTAGATCTTCAGTTGTTGAGTCATTAACTGTAGGACTTGCTGAAAATTCAAGATATATTTTGCCCTTTGCAATAGGTGAAAACCTCAGAGCGGCTGCAAATGATGACTGAAAAATAAAAAAATTATCAAAGTGAAGTTAGGTAAATATCTACTAACTAGACTTAATATTTTTACCAAGGAATTGTTGTATTGTAAAACATTATCATTTGGCGCAATTCCGTTTTTAAAAAATTCATTGCACGGATTAAACTTATCAAAACCAATTATGTAAAAATCCATAATATAATTTAATATTAAAAATTTAAACCCTGTAAATAAAAAGAAAAACAAATATATTATTTTTATTGATTGAGGAGGTTGCAGTTGTTGATGAAAAATGGCTATTATGGGGCTGCAGTCGGTCGTGTTAAGTACCTATATATGTATATTATATGTAATAAACTATAGTATACCTATAGTTAAAATATATATATTCCTAATAATTTATTATATTTGATATTATAAAAGATATAGACATAAATAATTATATAGTACCTACGTATAGATGTATTAATATTTTATAATAACATATAGGATTGCGCCCTTGTACTAAGGGTTCTGTATAAGTCTATGCGGCCATAGGTGCAAATAACCTTTGAGATTTTACGGGGCAGCATATATATTTTCTTTTTTTTTGGGGGGGGGGCTTAGCCCTTAAATCCCCGATCCTTATTTACGCATATATGTCTATGGCACATGGATAATTAGACCGTACTTATTTTAAGCAAATTTAAATAACACCATTTAATTCCTATTTCCCATAAACCATACATTTTTATTGAATTTTTTTATATTATACAAATATGTAAACTTATCTACTTACAATCTGGAGACATTTGGTTATTTGTATAAAATATCATGTTCCTTGCATTGATATATAATCCAATGGTCAAATTGCAATTTATTGTTCTCATTGTTGTAATATACTGTTGGAAATTGTCGTAAAACGATTCATCAAAATGATAATCTAAATTCTGAGAAAAAAAAATGTATTTAATATTCATTAGTTTCAATCAAATTTCCTAACTACATTTGGTTAGCTATCAACATACAGTTGCGTTTATAGTGCACCCCCCCCCCCCACCAAGAAAATAAAAGTTTATATATGTAGAATTATCATTATTAATTAGATATACTGAGGGTAATCCCGAGTAGTAGACAATGGTTTCTGTACCCCCTCCCCACCCACTGATATTAAATCCTATAATATACACCAATACATATATTATGTATTATTTAATATTCATTTTTTTTTTAAGTAACTGGCACCGATGCGGTCGGGACTTGGGACCTTTGCACCTTGTGCTTAATTTATTATTCGGTCTACCCGAGTATTAAATGTAAGTATCATACGTATTATATGATAAGCTATATATAATATTTATGTAGACTTGGGTAGTATTCCTAGTATAGTAAGTATTCCGGATGCTTTTAGAAAACAGTTTCCCAAAAGTATTAAGTGCTGCAGGTATTCGGGATATATTTAAAAGTAGATATTTAGAATAATTTATTCAAAATAGGTACTATAATATAATATCGAATCGTAGTTTAAAATAAAGCGATCACTATTAATACTTGAAGTATTAATTTTTTTAAATTTAAATTTAACTTATCAATAGATACCGTAAGTACCTATAATTACATTTTATGATCAATCTGTTACTTTAATGGTAGTGACGGATCCAGAAGTCACCCAAGGGGGAGTGGCAAATTTTCAAAAATTAAATTGAATTTTTGGTTAGCGAAATATTATAATAAGAAATAAAGTTAAAAAGACAGCCCAAGAGGGTGGGCCAACGCCCCTTCACCCCCTCTCATATCCGTTACTGTTTAATGGAGACTCCAATAGTTACCTAGATTAGGTTAGGTTAGGTTAGGTAACTATCTAAAAACGTTAAACATAAAATGGTTCATTTATGATTATATTCAAATGTGATAAAAAATACTGTTTTACAGCCTAAACAGGTTGGTACTTACACTACTATAATCGTAGTTTAAATTCTTTAGTATTAATCCTACTACATTATAACCACTTAAAAAATTGTGTAAACTTTCTGCTTCATTTTTTGTATTTGAACCATTCATTGCTTCTATCCAAGCTTTGGTGGTTTCATAACCATAATATAAATACAACGGCTTATCAGAAGATCCAAGAGCTATCACGTTTCCTGTAAAAAAAGTGTATTTTTTAATTTGCAGTAAAAATATAGTATTTATGATTTTTGCCAATCATATATCTATATTATATTCATATACCTATAAGCACCTTCTTTTGCTATAGAATACCTTATAATATCTAAATTTTAAACATTACTAAGTAAATAATTTTGAGTAAAAATTCCCGTTTTTCCTTAATTTTTCTCTTGTTTTTCACGGCGCATTTGAAAACTACTTTGAAATTTTTTACTTTTGAAAATCCAAAGCACTTTTACTGTCCTAAAAGATTTTCTATGGCAAAATAAGCAATCGATGACGGCAGGTCTTGAGTGTGAATATTATCAGTTGATTCGTTAGGTTTTCCTTTTACTGACGCTACCAGTTTTTAACCAATGATCGATGGTCGAAAATATATGATTTTAAATGTTAAAAAATGTGAAAAAAATAAATGGTACTTCAAATATGAAACCACTGTATATTTATATACGTAGTACGTTATGTGAGACACGTAAACTTTGAAAGCAAGTGACTGCTTAATTATTGAAGTACATGCCGCAATATCAAACAACCTGTTCACAGTGGTAGTTTTATCTGAATTTAAGATAAAAATGATATGCAATTATTATACGAGCAACTCCACGCAGTAGCAGATCCAGAGGGGGGCAAAGGGGGAATTTGCCCCCTCCCCAATCGCCGTAGTTTCCCTTCATTTTACACTATCTTTAGCCAATTTTGTAGCCAATTTTTGTACTTTTGCCCCCCCCCCCCAACAAAAAAATTAAGCCCTGGATCCGCCACTGACGCCACGTTACCTGATCAGCTAAAATCTAGTGTACACACTGAATGTGGCCTATAGTCATATATTATAATTTATACTCTTATTATACCTATCGGCTATCATACACTTATACTATATTATATTACGAAAAACCTATTTACAATATTTACAATAGTCAATATTTCACAAATAATATGTCATTTCAATTAAATACTCCCAATTTCACTTTTTCCGAGGACCCCCAATACCTTCACGGACCCCTGGTTGAGAAACAATGTAATAAACTAATAAATATTCGACTGCTACCTGTATATCTGTCCCAGTGTCCCCCGTTTTCAATAACAGTTTTTACTTACTTTCATCTTTTTCAGAAAAACTAAAAGTGAAATCAGGATGACAAATTAAGCCATCGTAAACGAATGATGTACACTCTTTTGGTATCCAATCTAATGGCATGGGATCATATGGACAGAATGTTCCATACTTATCAAAATCACCTGCATACATACATGGTGCTATTCCAAGCACTGAAAAATAAAAATAATTATTAATTAATATTTCCATTGATTATAATAAAATGTACTAATATGTACCAATAAATTATGGTAGGTTATAGCTACGGCGGGGCGGCATTTATTTTCCTAATAGTATTTTTGTTGAGATTGACATTTTTTAATTCGTAATATCTTTTGAATAATTCAAAAAGTAATCTACAGGTATTGAAACAGTCTTGAATACGAAATGATTTATTTGGATAAGGATTAATACAATAGTATGGATAACATGGTCAGCATTTCTGATTTCTATCAACCTTTATCATGAAGTTTTTTGTAGATATTGTCGATATTGATATATTCTTTAATATTGTAGAACAATTTTTTGTTCTTTCATCAACTATATAGTTTCTGCAGCGTATGCGATGAAAGACATTTTATGGTTAATTTTTTTACACTTTGGGTTACACTATTGAAATTTTAGCAGGGATTCCAATTTTATTCTAGTAATAAATATAGACTATTCTACTCATGGATAATGTAGCATTCTAATGGTGAAAGAATTTTTGAAATCGGTCCAGTAGTTTTTGAGTTCTTTCGTTATACAAACATACAAAAATACAAATATTTCCTCTTTATAATATTAGTATGGACTAAACGTACCTAGGTACTACCTATTATAATGTATTTTGAATAGACTTTTTATCACTGGACAATGGCTATGTGTGACTTAAGAATATTTTATGTAGTTAAATTTGATTTTGAGTTTTTCATTCGTTGTTACAATATTATAATCGACTTCATTTCCGAATTTTGATTGTTATTTTTTATACATTTTTCGTTTGTGATTCTGAGTGTTGCTAAGAATGGATTGGTTTTACATTGATGTATTTATTATTTGTGTGACTGTTCACTGTTATTACGTGTTTACTGTTTATTGACTATATTTTATAGACTTGGGTTTTATTACTTTAATTATTTGGTCGAATTTAGATCATAGAAATAAAAATTATTTTTTAGTTAAAATTTATTTATTTTAGATTCTGAGCAGAGCGTTTAAGATTGATATTAGATTGATAATTTTATAGATTTTCACTGATAGATAAATATACCCAAGTGAATAATTAATTGATTTGATTATATATATATATTTAAGTATATAACTATATTTATTTACCAGAAGTATTTAATGTCTCGGCGTTTATTCTGACCCATACATTTTGAAGAACAATAATTGTTATAAGTAAAATAAAACTTTTCATTTTATTTTTATAAAAACCCTACACTATTAGGTATATTATAGTTTAATCATAAAATAAAACACAATTGTTGGTATTAAATTATTCGAATGACTACAAATTATATAGCTAGATCATTATAAATGATGCTAACTTGCAGTTGTATTTGAATAGTAATAATATGGCAATATTATACAATAGATAAATTGTAAGAATAACTAAATAAATATTAATGTGTCATACATTATCTACCGTAATAATTATTTCATACAACGGGAGTAATAAAATAACATTATAAATTAATTAAATAAACAGCAAAATTAGTATACGTCATTATACCTCAGTAGGTATTCGTATAATTTATATTAGGTATTTGTATAAAAATATAAAATACAATACAATTTTTGTAATTAAATTAATCAAATTTCTACAATTTGTCATTGATCTTATATAATATATCTTGTTGATGATGATTATAAATTACAACATCCTGCAGTTGTATTTGAATAGAAATAATATGACAATTATAGTGTAATCAATGAAATTAACAGCAATCATTATATAATATTTTTTTTTCTGTGAAATCGCAGCTGTTTCAAATTTATGATCATACATTATACAATATACATACAATTCAGTATTGTTAACTATTAATTATTATATGTGTCAATACTCAATTATGTATATATATATGTATACCTATATTAATGATAGTTATAATATTGTTAATCATTATAAGTATTATTGTAGCACTGTCTTGTAACGTTAGTGTTTGATAGACAATTAATTATATATAGCAGCCATAGTATCTCGTGAGAATGATATATATAATATATGAGTCAGATCCCTAGGGTGGGCACTCTATATATTATGGAAGGCGCATTTTATATAATTCATGTATTTTAAAAGTGTCCGTTTGTGTTCCTATCGATGATTTGTCGTTAATAGAATTATTTTATTAGCTTATCTTCTACGAAATATCAGTGATATACCGGTGGACCGCGGGCAACAGGTACTTCTTTGGATCGCATATTTAGCAGATAATTGTTTATTGTTTATTCTATGAGAAGAACCAAAATGGCAGCCTACTAGGATGGGACAGTTTTTTGGCGCGTTCCACAGTAGGTATACAGTTCAGCGAGTGTGGGATTTTGAGATTTTCTTCGAGTTGAACAATAAACCGTAACCGTACAATAAACATCCGTCTTATTATTTACTTTGTATTGATTGGCTGCCAACATTAACAACCATAATAATTATGTCATGCATTTAAAATATCGGGTGATGGTACCCGGGACAAGTAGCTATTAGGAGCTTTGTCAGCCGACCAGATTCCGGCCCCCTCTTACTCATATCCAGTTTTCTCAAGCCGGCCGTAGCCCGTCTTTCTTAAATCTTGTGCAGGATCTGCCATGGATCCATGGTAGCATGGGATTAGGGCAGTGGCGCACACTCAAAAATAAATAGGGGTAGCAAATTGAATCGTTATTGGAGGCTATTTTTACACATTTTGGAATTTTACGCTTGTTGTTATAAATATTATCATAATATTTTATTTTATCATATTCTACAATAATAAATGCATTTTGTATTTAATATCGATAATATTATGAGTTTATGATAAATTATAATTTTTATTTATATGACAACGTTTTTTTTTTTGTTTGTACAAGTTGTATGATTGTTTATAATCTTTTTAATTAAACAGTAAGATATTTCAATATTTACGTATTGTGTATATATTTTATCAGAATTTTAAATGCTTAAAATAATTTTTAGGGGGCGTCAGTGGCAGCCTTCTGCATACCCTGAAAAAGAGGCCTGCGCCGGGCTGCGCACGTCTATGATTTGAGATGTTATCACTGGTTAAAAATATAGTGACCAAATATCAAAATTATAAGTTAAGAATTTAAGATATGCGATCATAATATAATATGTATATTATATGTAACCAGAGGCAACTATTAATGAAAAAAAAATAAATATAAATGTCTACTAATTTGCTACTATATTACGGTGCATCCGAATTGCATGCCAAAAAATAAATATAAATTGGAATGTCCAAATTGCATGCCGTCTTTTGGAGGGGTCTGTCCGAATTGCATCCAGTCTCTTGGAGGGGTGTGTATGTCCGAATAAAATGTCTAAATAACTTACTTTTCCACTAGAGGAACGGGATTTTGTTACATTACAATAAAATATACAAATATTGTAGAAGGTGACACTGTGAAAAATAAATATTAAATAAAAATATTTTTCATCAACAACAAAGGCCATAAGTTAAATAAAACTATTGTAGTTTAGGGTAATCAAGTGAGTATATTTTACATGTTTACATAGTATTTCAAATAAATAATATTGTTTTAAAATTTGGTGGGTTTTTTTGACATTTCAAGCACACAATAGTACAGTGCAATGATGTATAATATAATAAATTTATAATGGCATGATTATAATGTAATGTATATATTTTTTTTTAATTATTTAGAATTTTAGATTATAATTTATAACAGTAAATTTAAAACATTTATAACAAAACGTTGTTATTTTTTAGTGCAATACTGCAATCAATTTTACTATTTTTTTAGTACTACAACATCCGTGCCCTATAGTAATAACAGTTCATAATAATAAAATATGTCAGTATGGAAAATATATATGAATAATACTAATACCGGAAACATATTTTTTTGAATAATTAAATAGTAATAGCATTTTATAAAACGGTTAATATTAAAGGGGAAATAGTTTAAAAATGTTCAGGGGAATAATTACGTTACAATATAATAATAATAATAATAAATTAAATAAACAATAATAATAATAGTAGGTAATAATATTATAATAACTTATAAATTATAAAAGCTTATAAATTTGACAATTGACAGCTACAAACACTTAAGTGACCGATAAGCGTATGTCGATGTCTGTGAAACAGACTACAATACTCCAATATAGATACAGTTTGGGAAAATATTTACTCGGATATAAAAACATTTCAACCTAGAAACTAATCAATTGTGACAACCATAGATAAAATAGCGTTTCTATACATGAATTTTTTTTTTTAAATTAGGAAAGTCCAAAAAATGTTTAAGTTGTTTAAGTGCATAATAAATAAATATGTGCCAAAGGCATGCAATTCGGACAGACCCCTCCAAGAGATGACATGCAATTTGGAATTTTTTTTTTTTGGCATGCAATTCAGATGCAGCCCTATATTGGCTATATTAGTACCTATATATTACTATCACAACAAAAACCCTTCGTAAACTAAAATGCAAAAATGGCTGAGTAAAAAAAAATATAAGATCTTTAAGCACTATAAAGATGTGATGTCACGAATAAATGCTAAGTATATTGAATTTAATTCAACTTTTTGTTTCAATAATTTATTTATTTACTTGACGAGGAATCATTTCATAAAAGAAACAAAGTGTGATGAATAAAATAATAATTAAATAGCGAAGGACTATTAAAATATAACTTTTTATTATTTAAAAAATATTATTATTAATGTTTATATACTATTCTAAATAATTCCTCGCCAAGTACCTAAATAAATTATTGAAACAAAATAAGTTTACTTAAATCCAATATACTTAGCATTTATTCATGATATCACATCTTTATAGTGCTAAAATGATCTTATATTTTTTTTACTTGGCCATTTTTACACGTTGTTTACGAAGGGTTTTTGTTGTGATATCACACATTTTTATCGTCATTAAATATTGAGTATTTACACAATAATCTATATAAGAAAGGTAATATTGTTGGTAACTGTTGGCAATGCTGATACGACCACGACGACGGCTACCGTGATTCTGATTTTAATATTATAAATTTCCATTAAAAAGTTCGCACTTTTTCATTTATTATTTAATTTTTAAAAGTAAGATTTTGATGATTTTAACAAAAGCACGTTATACACAATATTTCTGATGTTTTGGAGTTTACTAGGAGTTAATTGATGCATTAGAAAATTAGTTATGTCGTATAACAAATTTACCTCTATTTTACACAGTTTAAATACCTAACTCCTGCTCCGATATACTATACACACACCGTCGTGCAGTTATTATTTTTTTTTTACTTAGCTCGCGAAACCTAAATATTATAATATATTATCCAGCGGCAAGGTCGTTTCGCGAGCTAAGTAAAAAAAAAAAATAACTGCATGACGGTTTGTGTATGGATAATATATTATAATATTTATTATTTAGGTAACCATAGGCCAGTGGCTCGTGTATATGTGCACAAGTGCACGTGCACAGAGCCGTGTCAAGCAATTCAGCGCCCCGGGGCAATTCGAGCCCTTTCCCTACAATTTGGGCTCCAAGTAGCATATTAAGCTCAAATAACGACGCCCCTTACTTTTACAAAACTATGGCACCCGGGGGCAATTGCCCCCTTTGCCCTCCCCTTAACACTGCTCTACACGTGCACTACCTAACCGGACTCAAGAAAAATTGAAAACATAAATCATAATTATACAACTAAGTACTCATAATGTTATTAAGATTATTTTTAAAAATATAAAAACATAAATTCAGAATATTATGAAAATAATATATTTGGATTGGGTTATTTCGATGGCCAAATATAGCAACGGTATCGCCGTATCGGTGTGTATTATAGCAGTGCATTTTTTAAGCTAGTAAACTGGGGCAACATAATGTCGCCCAGTGATAATACATAATAGTATAATACCATTGTTTATAAATACCAGTATTTATAATACATTCATAATAATATAATATAATATATATTGGAAATAATAAAAACATTTAAATTATGATTTTATATAGATAGGCGATAGCCAGCTGGTTTTTTTTCTAAACATGCAATAATCATACTTTGTAGTACAGCCCCATTAAATAACGAATGCAATATAATATATCAATGGGTTATGGCCTTATGGGTCTCAGGAAAATATCTTCATTTAAGTTGACCGTTTACAACTAACTATTGACTTCGTCGGCCGTCGGGTTTTCACTTTTATTATTTTATTCATAAACATA